CCACTAAGCTACAGGAAAGTCTGATACCGGTAACTCCCTCATCCTCCATCCATGTTATGGAAGATGTCGCACCGAACATGGTGACGGATCATTACCTGCCATGAAAATGATGGAAATCACTCATACCAATCTTCTGGACGTCGAAATGCTGTACAGTCAAACACTTGTATTGAATGCAATTAAGTATTTCTAAATAGAATTATCATCATCTTTCCACACGTTTCAGTTGTTGGTCAGTGCACTGTACAAAACAAATATGGGGGTAAACAGGACTTGTAGACAAGGTCAAATTATAGTTGCTGTCACTGAGTCAAACCCCCACACAATCTAATAAATCTTGAATTGAGTGCTGAATTGTTCTGAAGCGATTCAACTTTTAATTGCTCTGCAGTGATTGTGTATTTACGGGCAAATTCAATGGGGCAAAACCCATGCCACTCACTTGCTGCACAAAATAAAGTCTATGTTTCCTCCCCCCGTTTGATATTTTCCTGCTGACATTACTCCCACAGCACAGAGGGAGGCAGATGAGGCAGAGCAGATAACTGGGTCACTTCTGCCCCCTGGTGGCTGTAGCATTCACCTATTTTATTTAAAAAATTTTATTTTTATAATAATAATCCTTGCATTTGATATAGCACCTTATCACTTCGTTGAGACGTCTCAAAGCACTTCACAGGTTATACTGTGGGTGGTCGCGCTTTATCACATTGGTAAGTGCATTACATATAACCACAGTCCAGTGCAGTGACTGGTTTTATAGGAAAATATGGCAGGTTTCAGCTCAACTCAGCTGGTCCCACATAGCCATGACATGAATAATAATAATAATAATCCTTGCATTTAATATAGCGCCTTATCACGTCATTGACACCTCTGAAAGCGCTTCACAGAATATGCTGTAGTGATCCTCAGGATCAATCCCACTCGCCCTCAAAACCGCGGTTATCACCCCCCTCCTTAAAAAATCTATCCTCGATCCCTCCAACCTCGGCCACTACCACCTTCTCAAACCTGCCCTTCCTTGCCAAAGCTCTGGAATGGGTTGTTGCCTACCAATTTCGCGCACACCTCTCCCTCCATATCCTACTCAAACCCCTCCAGTCCAGCTTCCGCCCTGCCCACAGTAGAGAGACAGCTCTATGAAGGTCACAAATGATATCCTCTCTATCTGTTACCAGGGTTCCCTCTGCCTCCTAGTCCTCCTGGACCCCTCCACCGTGTTTGACACAGTCAATCACACCATCCTCCTACACCGCCTGTTCTCTATCAACCACCTCAGTGGGACCGCACTCGCTTGGTTCGAGTCCTACCTCACAAACCTGGTTGGAGAAACTAAAACCAGGGGTCACAACCTTAAATTCAGAGGCCAGCCCTTTCGCACTGAGTTGAGGAAGAATTTCACTCAAAGGGTGGTGCATGTATGGAACACGCTACCCAAAAGAGCTGTTGACACTCAGTCCTTGAACATATTCAAGATTGAGATAGATAGATTTCTTATTGCAAAAGGGATTAAGGGATATGGGGATAAGGCAGGGTCAGGTTATTAGCTGGAGTTAGATTAGAAGATCAGCCATGATTGAATGGCGGGGCGGGCTCGAAGGGCCGAATGGCCCACTCTTGCTCCTACATGTTATGTTAAACCATCAGCACTACATTTCTGCAAATGGCTTTTCTTCGCACTTCCACCCGGTCACCTGCAGGGTACCCCAAGGATCCATCCTTGGCCCCCTTCTCTTCCTCATCTGTTTGCTCCCTCTCGGTGATGTCATCCGTAGACATGGGGTTAACTTCTGCATGTATACGGATGACACCCAACTCTACTTTGCCACCTACAGCTGCGATCCTCAGTCCCCTGATGTTCTGTCAACTTGTCTGTCAGACATCAGGAGCTGGATGAGCACAAATTTCTTGCAGGTAAATGTCAACAAGACAGAAGCTATACTCTTTGGCTCCCACCGACGTCTTCTGTCCCATGGTTCCGACCTCCTCAATCTACCTGACCTGTCCTTAAAATTCTCTGAACCTGTGCACAACTTAGGAGTCAGGTTCGATCCCCGGTTATTCTTCCTCCCCCATGTCCAGTCCCTGACCAGCACCACTTTCTTCCACCTCCACCACATTGTCCATCTCCGACAATACCTCACCTCAAAAGCTGCCAAAATCCTGTCCATGCCTTTGTCACCTCTCGGCTTTGTCAATTCTAACGCCCTCCTCGCCGGTCTCCCCTCCTCCACTATTCACAAAATGCAGCTCATTCAAAACTCCACCGCTCGCATTTTCACCTTCACCAAACTTCGTAACCCGATTACTCCAGTCGTTGCCAAACTCCACTGGCTCCCTGTCACAGAGCAGTTTGACTTCAAGATCCTCACTCTAATGTTTAATTCCCTCCATTCCTTGGCAGCCCCCTATCTCTCTAACCTCCTCTCTCCCCACGGCAGTAACCGCCACCTTCGGTATACTGGATTCGGCCTCCTCTGTGTCCCCCGAATCCTCTGCTCCACCATCGGCGGCCGTGCCTTCAGCCACTATATCCCCAAAGTTTGGAACTCTCTCCCTCAACCCCTTCGCCTCATCCCCTCCTTGACCATCTCCTTGCGCCTGAAGACCTTCCTTTTCAACCGTGCCTAGTCTTTCCCCTTCCCCTGGCTCGGCCTTGGGCTCCACCATTGTTAAGTGCTCTGAGACACCATCCAGCGTGGAAAGCGTTATATAAGTGCAAATTGTTGTTGTTGATTGTGTATTTTGTGGGTGAAATACGAAATAAACACATAATACATAATGGCTGATTTATCTGGAGATTGTTAACCTGGATACAAGGAGACACATTTTCTTTGCAAAAGCTTTGCAAGATTGTTATAACATCCACCAAATCCAGCACAAATGGTACCATGATTTAACATTTCATCCAAAGTAAGGTATCCCCTAGCACTGCACTGGAGTGCCAGCCTGGACTCTAGATTTGTATCCACAACCTTCTGACCCAGAGGCAAGAATGTGCATGTGACAAACTGCGCTAGGCTTGCTGACGTGCCTCACCAACTCACAGCATTAAAAAATCGGGACAAAACTCACGAGAACCACACCGTCCTTTATTGAGAGGCTCATATTGTATGGCCTCACACTCATTCTGATAGAAGCCCTGACACTGATCATAACTTCCAGACTAGTTTACTCATCAACCTGTGCTGCCACTGACCTGAGAATGTGGACAGACAGTGTAGAGGGAGCTTTACTTGTCACAACAACCAGTCCAACCAGTCGCTGTGTATCACACAAACTACTCCAACTTGACACCTTATGACACCTTATGACATCTATGTCACCTTATCCCTCCTACCTGACAGTCACTATCACGCCAAGCATTCCACACCAACTATCCAACCTGACAGGCGCCGAGGTCACAAGAACTACTCTAACCTTTATGGTCAATGTCTCTCCAACCACTCTGAACTGGCAGTCACTGTGTGTCACGCTGACCACTTTGATTTTATAATAATATAGTCCTTGCATTTGATGTTGTGCCTGATCATGTCTTCGAAATGTCTCAAAGCGCTTCGCAGAATATAATGTAAAGTGTAGTGACTGTATATCTTGTGGGCGAAACGAGGAAGCCAATTGCGTACAGCAACGTTCCACAAACAGTCGTGGATTGAGCGAACAAATTATTATTATTATTATTATTTAGTTATGGTATTTTTAAGGATTACCTGCGGAAAGCAATCCATGAATCGAGTAACAACCGGGTTCCTACTGACCGCCAGGCAAACAGAGGCGTGCGGAGTAAAGAAACTTGCCTAAGCAATCGAACGCGGCTCCTCTCGCTCACGAGGCGAGTGCACTAAACGCGAGCGCACTAACGGGACTCTCCTGCGCAGTCGCCCTGTGTCTCACTGACGATCTCTGTCACTGCAAAAAAATCTTGACCTAAACAAACGACTGTTTGATAATCAACGCAAACCAAAAAAAGCCCACACACCCGCCCGCCCGCCCGCCGCCCGACTGCCCGCCCGCCCGCCCGACTGCCCGACTGCCCGCCCGCCACTCGACTGCACGCCCGCCCGCCCGACAGCCCGCCCACCCGACTGCCCGCCCGCCCACCCGCCGCCCGACTGCCCGCCCACCCAACTGCCCGCCCACCCGACTGCCCGCCCGCCACTTGACTGCACGCCCGCTCGACTGCCTGCCCGCCCGACTGCCCGCCCGACTGCCCACCCGTCCACCCGACTGCCCACCCGTCCGCCCGACTGCCCACCCGCCCGCCCGACTGCCCGCCCACCCGACGGCCCGCCCACCCGACTGCCCGCCCGCCCACCCGCCGCCCGCCCACCCGCCGCCCGACTGCCCGCCCACCCAACTGCCCGCCCACCCGACTGCCCGCCCACCCGACTGCCCGCCCGACTGCCCGCCCGCCACTTGACTGCACGCCCGCCCGACTGCCCGCCCGACTGCCCACCCGTCCGCCCGACTGCCTGCCCGCCCGACTGCACGCCCGCCCGACTGCCCGCAAGTCCGACGGCCCGCCCGCCTGACTGCCCGCCCGCCTGCCTGCCCGATGGCCCGCCCACCCGCCCGCCCGCTTGCCGCGTCGCCCCTACAAAATACACGAGTCACTACTCTTGACGGCGTATGCCGTGAAGCGCTCGGAGACGTCTTGGAGACGTGATAAGGCGCCGTAGCACAGATGAGGAATATTATTATTATCATTATTAAAAACAGCTAAGAAGCAGATAACCATATAACCGGTCAGACAGTTTGACCCCTCTCTCCCCCCTGAGACAGTGCCTGCGGGGGGGGGAGGGGGGGAGGGGGGAGGGGCCGATACACCTCAAACACCTTTAAGATAAGAAAAGAAATCCGTCAGAGGAGCGGCCAATCCCGGGCATTTCCGGCGTGGTCTTGTTTCCGGTTCCGGTCCCCGCTCCCGTGTTTCCGTTTCCGGTCTGGGGCGGCTCGTTTCCGGTTCTAGTCCGGGCTCTCGTTTCCGGTTCCGGTCGGGTCCGGTTTCCGGTGCGCGTCGTCATGTGGCTGAGCCGCGGCCTCGTCCTCTCCCGGGTCCGGTACCCCCGCGCCCTGCACTCGGCGGCCGCCCGTCCCCACCCCAGCGTGGCTCTGGTCAGTGTGTGTGAGGGTCACTCCAGCCTCTGGTCAGTGTGTGTGTGTGTGTGAGGGTCACTCCAACCTCTGGTCAGTGTGTGTGTGTGTGTGAGGGTCACTCCAGCCTCTGGTCAGTGTGTGTGTGTGTGTGTGTGTGAGGGTCACTCCAGCCTCTGGTCAGTGTGTGTGTGTGAGGGTCACTCCAACCTCTGGTCAGTGTGTGTGAGGGTCACTCCAACCTCTGGTCAGTGTGTGTGTGTGTGTGTGTGAGGGTCACTCCAGCCTCTGGTCAGTGTGTGTGTATGAGGGTCACTCCAACCTCTGGTCAGTGTGTGTGAGGGTCACTCCAACCTCTGGTCAGTGTGTGTGTGAGGGTCACTCCAACCTCTGGTCAGTGTGTGTGTGTGTGTGAGGGTCACTCCAGCCTCTGGTCAGTGTGTGTGTGTGTGTGAGGGTCACTCCAACCTCTGGTCAGTGTGTGTGTGTGTGTGAGGGTCACTCCAACCTCTGGTCAGTGTGTGTGAGGGTCACTCCAACCTCTGGTCAGTGTGTGTGTGTGTGTGAGGGTCACTCCAACCTCTGGTCAGTATGTGTGTGTGTGTGAGGGTCACTCCAGCCTCTGGTCAGTGTGTGTGTGTGTGTGTGTGAGGGTCACTCCAGCCTCTGGTCAGTGTGTGTGAGGGTCACTCCAGCCTCTGGTCAGTGTGTGTGTGTGTGTGTGAGGGTCACTCCAGCCTCTGGTCAGTGTGTGTGAGTGAGGGTCACTCCAGCCTCTGGTCAGTGTGTGTGTGTGAGGGTCACTCCAGCCTCTGGTCAGTGTGTGTGAGTGTGAGGGTCACTCCAGCCTCTGGTCAGTGTGTGTTTGTCTGTGAGGGTCACTCCAGCCTCTGGTCTGTGTGTGTGTTTGAGGGTCACTCCAGCCTCTGGTCAGTGTGTGTGAGTGTGAGGGTCACTCCAGCCTCTGGTCAGTGTGTGTGTTTGAGGGTCACTCCAGCCTCTGGTCAGTGTGTGTGTGTGTGTGAGGGTCACTCCAGCCTCTGGTCAGTGTGTGTGAGTGAGGGTCACTCCAGCCTCTGGTCAGTGTGTGTGTGTGTGTGAGGGTCACTCCAGCCTCTGGTCAGTGTGTGTGTGTGTGAGGGTCACTCCAGCCTCTGGTCAGTGTGTGTGAGGGTCACTCCAGCCTCTGGTCAGTGTGTGTGTGTGTGTGTGAGGGTCACTCCAGCCTCTGGTCAGTGTGTGTGAGTGAGGGTCACTCCAGCCTCTGGTCAGTGTGTGTGTGTGAGGGTCACTCCAGCCTCTGGTCAGTGTGTGTGTGTGAGGGTCACTTCAGCCTCTGATCAGTGTGTGTGTATGAGGGTCACTCCAGCCTCTGGTCAGTGTGTGTGTGTGTGAGGGTCACTCCAGCCTCTTGTCAGTGTGTGTGTGTGTGTGAGGGTCACTCCAGCCTCTGGTCAGTGTGTGTGTGAGGGTCACTCCAGCCTCTGGTCAGTGTGTGTGTGAGGGTCACTCCAGCCTCTGGTCAGTGTGTGTATGTGTACGGGTCACTCCAGCCTCTGGTCAGTGTGTGTGTGTGTGTGTGAGGGTCACTCCAGCCTCTGGTCAGTGTGTGTGTGTGTGAGGGTCACTTCAGCCTCTGGTCAGTGTGTATGTGTGTGAGGGTCACTCCAGCCTCTGGTCAGTGTGTGTGGGGGTCACTCCAGCCTCTGGTCTGTGTGTGTGTTTGAGGGTCACTCCAGCCTCTGGTCAGTGTGTGTGTGTGTGTGAGGGTCACTCCAGCCTCTGGTCTGTGTGTGTGTGAGGGTCACTCCAGCCTCTGGTCAGTGTGTGTGTGTGAGGGTCACTCCAGCCTCTGGTCTGTGTGTGTGTGTAAGGGTCACTCCAGCCTCTGGTCAGTGTGTGTGTGTGTGTGTGAAGGTCACTCCAGCCTCTGGTCAGTGTGTGTGAGTGTGTGTGAGGGTCACTCCAGCCTCTGGTCAGTGTGTGTGTGTGAGGGTCACTCCAGCCTCTGGTCAGTGTGTGTGAGGGTCACTCCAGCCTCTGGTCAGTGTGTGTGTGTGTGTGTGAGGGTCACTCCAGCCTCTGGTCAGTGTGTGTGAGTGAGGGTCACTCCAGCCTCTGGTCAGTGTGTGTGTGTGAGGGTCACTCCAGCCTCTGGTCAGTGTGTGTGAGTGTGAGGGTCACTCCAGCCTCTGGTCAGTGTGTGTTTGTCTGTGAGGGTCACTCCAGCCTCTGGTCTGTGTGTGTGTTTGAGGGTCACTCCAGCCTCTGGTCAGTGTGTGTGAGTGTGAGGGTCACTCCAGCCTCTGGTCAGTGTGTGTGTTTGAGGGTCACTCCAGCCTCTGGTCAGTGTGTGTGTGTGTGTGAGGGTCACTCCAGCCTCTGGTCAGTGTGTGTGAGTGAGGGTCACTCCAGCCTCTGGTCAGTGTGTGTGTGTGTGTGAGGGTCACTCCAGCCTCTGGTCAGTGTGTGTGTGTGTGAGGGTCACTCCAGCCTCTGGTCAGTGTGTGTGAGGGTCACTCCAGCCTCTGGTCAGTGTGTGTGTGTGTGTGTGAGGGTCACTCCAGCCTCTGGTCAGTGTGTGTGAGTGAGGGTCACTCCAGCCTCTGGTCAGTGTGTGTGTGTGAGGGTCACTCCAGCCTCTGGTCAGTGTGTGTGTGTGAGGGTCACTTCAGCCTCTGATCAGTGTGTGTGTATGAGGGTCACTCCAGCCTCTGGTCAGTGTGTGTGTGTGTGAGGGTCACTCCAGCCTCTTGTCAGTGTGTGTGTGTGTGTGAGGGTCACTCCAGCCTCTGGTCAGTGTGTGTGTGAGGGTCACTCCAGCCTCTGGTCAGTGTGTGTGTGAGGGTCACTCCAGCCTCTGGTCAGTGTGTGTATGTGTACGGGTCACTCCAGCCTCTGGTCAGTGTGTGTGTGTGTGTGTGAGGGTCACTCCAGCCTCTGGTCAGTGTGTGTGTGTGTGAGGGTCACTTCAGCCTCTGGTCAGTGTGTATGTGTGTGAGGGTCACTCCAGCCTCTGGTCAGTGTGTGTGGGGGTCACTCCAGCCTCTGGTCTGTGTGTGTGTTTGAGGGTCACTCCAGCCTCTGGTCAGTGTGTGTGTGTGTGTGAGGGTCACTCCAGCCTCTGGTCTGTGTGTGTGTGAGGGTCACTCCAGCCTCTGGTCAGTGTGTGTGTGTGAGGGTCACTCCAGCCTCTGGTCTGTGTGTGTGTGTAAGGGTCACTCCAGCCTCTGGTCAGTGTGTGTGTGTGTGTGTGAAGGTCACTCCAGCCTCTGGTCAGTGTGTGTGAGTGAGGGTCACTCCAGCCTCTGGTCAGTGTGTGTGTGTTTGAGGGTCACTCCAGCCTCTGGTCAGTGTGTGTGTGTGTGAGGGTCACTCCAGCCTCTGGTCAGTGTGTGTGTGTGAGGGTCACTCCAGCCTCTGGTCTGTGTGTGTGTGTAAGGGTCACTCCAGCCTCTGGTCAGTGTGTGTGTGTGTGAGGGTCACTCCAGCCTCTGGTCAGTGTGTGTGTGTGTGAGGGTCACTCCAGCCTCTGGTCAGTGTGTGTTTGTCTGTGAGGGTCACTCCAGCCTCTGGTCTGCGTGTGTGTGAGGGTCACTCCAGCCTCTGGTCAGTGTGTGTGTGTCTGTGTGAGGGTCACTCCAGCCTCTGGTCAGTGTGTGTCTGTGTGAGGGTCTCTCCAGCCTCTGGTCAGTGTGTGTGTGTGTGAGGGTCACTCCAACCTCTGGTCAGTGTGTGTGAGTGAGGGTCACTCCAGCCTCTGCTCAGTGTGTGTGTGTGTGTGAGGGTCACTCCAGCCTCTGGTCAGTGTGTGTGTGTGTGAGGGTCACTCCAGCCTCTGGTCAGTGTGTGTGTGAGGGTCACTCCAGCCTCTGGTCAGTGTGTGTGTGAGGGTCACTCCAGCCTCTGGTCAGTGTGTGTGTGTGAGGGCCACTCCAGCCTCTGGTCAGTGTGTGTGTGTGAGGGTCACTCCAGCCTCTGGTCAGGGTGTGTGTGTGTGAGGGTCACTCCAGCCTCTGGTCAATGTTTGTGTGTGAGGATCACTCTCTCTGGTCGGTGTGTGAGGGTCACTCTCTCTGGTCGGTGTGTGTGAGGGTCACTCCAGCGCTATGTCAAGTGCAACCACCTCCTCACATGTGCTGTTTGCGGTGTCCTGTGGGATCCGGCTGTCCCCTCCCGTTGGCTGGTGTGAGTGTGAGCCGCTCTGTCTGTCCGTGTGTGTGTGTGTGTGTGTGGGTATCTGTGTGTGTACGTGTCTGTCTATGTGTCTGTATTGGCGGCTGATTGTCGTTTTCTCTGCAGGTGCTGTCAGGTTGCGGTGTGTACGATGGCACGGAGATCCATGAGGCCTCGGCGTAAGTCACCGCACTTCTCTGTCAGCGGGTTACTGTGTCACTGTCACCACCGGGGGGGGGGGGGGGGGGGGGTGAGGTTTATGAGTGAGCCGGGGATGGGAAGTGAGTGTGTGGGGGGGGGGGGGGGGGGGCGTTGTGAGTGAGCGGTGGGGGGTGTTGGTTGTGAGCGGGGGATTTGGGAGGTAGCGGGGGTGGGTGGTTCACATCATCCAAAACTCTGCAGCTCGTGTACTCTCACGCACCAGACTCCGTGACCCATCACTCCCACCCTCGCCCGACTCCACTGGCTCCCCATCCCCCAGAGGATCGAGTTCACCTGACTGTTCAGCGCTTTGGGACGTCCTCCTGACGTGAAAGGCGCTCTATAAATGTAATTTTGTTGTTGTTGTTGGTTGGCGGCGAGCGGGGATATTGGGAGTGAGCAGGTGGGGTTTGAGACTGAGTGGAGTGGAATGAGCCAAGAGATTGGGAGAGAACACTTGGGGGGGAAGAACACAGTCAGGTGGGAAGAGAGTGAGTGGGTGGTGAGGGGTGGGGTGGAGGGGCATGAGCATGTGGTGTGGTTAGTGTGGTTTGTTGTCGTTGTGTTCCAGGATCCTGGTACACCTGAGCCGGGTCGGAGCCGCTGTACAGGTCTACGCTCCCAACATCCCTCAGATGCACGTCATTGATCACGCGCGGGGTGAGCCTGCGGTGGAAAGCCGGTGAGAGCAGGCAGGAGAACCAACGAGAGGAAGGGTGGAGGGGGGTGGCGAGGGGGAGCGCTGTGTTGAATAAATAAATAACAGGACTGGTTCAGATGACGAAGGTTTTAGCTTCACTTTCAGCTCCTGTTATACCCTGCAAGCCAAAGCCCTAACAGGTAGGGTGGTCCTAGCTGGACAAACAGCGGGAAAGTGTACCAGGCAGTGCTCTCAAAGGCAAGCTATGCAGTTTTAGCAGGTCAGACTCCAGCAGGTAGTTAGACTGCCTAACCCAATGCACACTCTGGGATCCCCAAGCCTTGGCTTCTGCCAACTTGCACCTAATACTCTCTGGAATTAGGTAAGTAGGATGGGTCACTCCAGGGAAAGAGTGCACATTCCAATAGTCTAGCTCTGGAATTTCCATGTGTAGATGGGATGCATGGATTTCTCAGCTCGGTTTGGATACTCTTAAGCAGGTCGGTTGTTTTCCGTGTGCGTCAGACACTCAGCTGACCCCCAAAAAAGATGAAGGTCCTTCATCCCATTCTGATAATAATAATAAACCTTGCATTTGATACAGCGCCTTATCACGTCTTCAAGACGTCTCAAAGCGTTTCACAGAATATACTGTAGAGTGAATTGAGTATATATTTTGTGGGCACCCTCACACTCATTCACACACACTCACTCACTCACTCACTCCCAGCCGCTCCTTCACTCAGGCCAAGCTCATTATGCATTGCTGGCCTCAGGCCTAAGCACCAGTGATGGTTGGCCAGAGACATTAGTAGTTGTAGTTGTGTCACTGAACGGGTCTCTCTTGGAGGCTGAGATTAGCCATGTTAACGCTGCCCTCGCTCTCTCTCCCTGCCAGGAACGTGCTGGTGGAGTCGGCACGGATAGCTCGGGGCCGAGTGGTGGATCTTAACAAGCTGCAGGCCCAGGACCATGATGCTGTCATCTTCCCTGGGGGCTTTGGGGCGGCCAAGAACCTGTGAGTAGCAGCACCTCAGCCTCAGCTGCTAACAGGGCAGTTGCTAACATTAAGGTAATGACAAGTTTGAAATAATTAATTGCAGAAATCTCTTTCCGCTGGTCAGAGATTTGAGGACAAGAGTGGTTATGGGGAGCGGCTGGGTGTTTGTGTGTGTTTGCCTGTCTGACTGTATATTTTGTGGGCAAAGTGCGGGAGCCAATTGCACCCAGCATTGTCCTACAAACAGTCGTGGATTGAGTGACCAATTTTTTTTTCAAGGGATTATTAACCCCAGAAAACAATCCGCCAATCGACTAACAACCGGGTTCCTACTTACTGCTAGGTAAACAGAGGCGTGTGGAGTTAGGAAACTTGGGAGTCAGGCTCCACGTGCCTCAGTGTTGCTACTCAGACCAACACATACCTTCTGTCATCGCAACAGATCGTCGTTTGCAGTGGATGGCAAGGACTGCAAAGTGATCACGGATGTGGAGCGGGTACTGAAGGACTTCCATCAAGCGGGGAAGCCCATCGGGTGAGTAATGGCCGCAGCGCTGACTCCATCTCCACCGGCAGGAGAGACTGAGACTGACAGAGTGAGGGAGCTGGATGAATATCAGCAGAGACATGAGATGTCAAGGCCTTGGAGATGGTGCAGAAGAGATTTACAAGAATGATGCCAGGGTTGGGGAACAATAATTATGTGGAGAGACTAGAGAGGCTGAGTTTGCTCTCCTTCGAGCTGAGAAGCTGGAGGGGCGATTTAACAGAGATTTTCAAAAATTATGAAGGGTTTTGATAGAGTGCATAGGGAGAAATTGTTTCCTCTGGCGAATGGGTCGGTAACCAGAGGACACAGACTTGAGATAATTGTCAAAAGAACCAGAGGTGAGACGAGGAGAATTTTGTTAACCCAGAGAGTTGTTACGGTCTGGAATGCACTGCTGTAAGGGTGGTGGAAGCAGATTTGATAATAGCTTTCAAAAGGGAGTTGTAAGGTTATGGAGTAAGAGGGAGTGGGATTAGTTTGTAGCTCTTGCAAAACGATGCCACAGGCACGATGGGCCGAATGGCATCCTTCTGTGCTGTAATATTCCATGTCAGTGACGCAGGACACTAGCTGAAGAACAGACTGAGCCTGACACTGAGAGGGAGCTGGAGGAACATCAGTTTAAACTGACGCTCCAATGTAGTGCTGGGAGGAAGAAGGGGGATGCGGGGGGAGTTGAATCTTCCTTTGGATGAGACGCTGAAGGCAGCGAGGTCTCATCTGCTTGTTCAGGGGGACGTAAAAAGATCATGTGACGCTATACAAAAAGCAAAGGGAGTTTCTCTCTCCCGGTGTCCTAGCCAACAATCCCCCAGATGAAATTGGTCGCTCGCTCGCTCCATGCCTGTTTGTGGGGCATTGCTGTGTGCAGAAGTACAGCTTCGATCACTCCTCTACTTCTTTGAGCAATCTGCGTTTCATTAGCATCAAGGTCTCTGCCCCTTTCCGTCCCCAACACCCCCCACACCACCCTTTGGGTTACTGCGTAGGAGTGTGTGCCAGAGAGGGGAGACGAGAGTCCCACAGAGCAAGGGAGCTGGAGGAACATCAGTGGAGACACAGCCAGTGATACAGGGTGCTGGGTCGTTCTGTTGTTGCACTGCCTCCCACTGGCAAGCATGTTACTCAGCACTGTGTGATGCTGTCCTCTTACCTGTGTTGCAGACTGTGCTGCATTGCCCCCGTGCTGGTGGCCCGAGTGCTGCCAGGGGTGGAGGTGACGGTGGGCCAGGAGGAAGAGGAGGGAGGGAAATGGCCGTACCCTGGAACAGCTGAAGCCATCAGGTGTATGGGGGGAAAGCACTTCCCCGGTGACGTCCACATATCCTTTCACCCCTACCTCACACCACTGTGCTCCAATGTTCCCTGTCACAGAGACACCACTGTACCCTGGCACGGAGACCAGATTGGCACAGAAACGGAGAATCCGCCTGATCTGAGGGTGCCATTGTGTGGAGACTGAGTAAAGGTTAGACCAAAATTGGCTGTGGTGGAAAGATGCTGGTTGAAGGCCAAGCTCGTCCCCGGGACGGTGGGGAGATGGTGGTGGTAGACAGCCCTGGGCCTTGCTGCGCTGGCAGAGGTGGGCGGGCGCGTGGGGTTAGTTCCTTACCTGGCACAACCCAAGATCTGAGCTCTGCTGTTTGACCTGCTTCGTTAACACAATCCTTAACCCAGTTCCCACCAAGCTCACGTGGACATGAAGAATAAAATCGTCACGACGCCCGCTTTCATGTGCGAGACACACCTGCACCACATCTTTGATGGCATCGGAGCCATGGTCGCCGACGTGATCCGTTTGAGTGGCAAATAACAGCCCGAGCTGTCAGGCCCTGGGCATCACACAGGATACCGAAAGTGTGTGTGTGTATGCGTGTAACTGTTGTGTGCACCAACTTCCATCAACTTATCCGCATCCTCACCTGGCTCCACTGGCTCATCGTTGCTTTCAAAGCCCTCCAAGGCCTTGCTCCTCCCAACCTCTGTGAGCTGCTAATCCCATACCGACCTGTCCGCTCCCCCCATTCACCGGGCTCCGGCCTGCTCCACGTCCCACACCCGGCCCCCTCCACCATCGGTGGTTGGGCCTTCAGCCTCTGCCCCCATCTTCTGGATTTCCATCCTACAGTCCCTTCGCCTTGTCCCCTCCCTTGTCATCTTCAAAATCTGTCTCAAAACCTTTCTCTTCAACCGCACCTTTGGTCACCCTCCTACCCCTACCCTCCCTGCTTCTCCACCCCTCCTTATTTCAACCTTCAGCTCAGGTCCAAATCCCTGACTGTCCGGTGCCTTGGTACATACTCCCGATGTGTGTACCAGGGTAATTTATTATTTGGTTTTATGCGCGCGTGCAAGGGAAAGTGTGTATGTGTCAGCAACAATAACTTGCATTTGTATAGCACTCTTCCTGCTGAATAGAGTCCTGGAGCACTTGAGAGTGGCGGAGTCTGACCCCGAGCGAGGGGGAGGGGGCAGGTGACCGTAAGCACAATCAGAAAAGGAGGGTCTTTAGGCGAGATTTGAAAATGGGGAGGGAGGGGGCAAGACAGAGGGATTAAAGGAGAGAATTCCAGGACTTCGGGGCATAGTGGCTGAAAGCGCTATGGTGTGCACCATGGTTTTAACCACTTTAGACCTTAAACACAGCTCCAATCTTCTCTCAGCTTTGCCCCCTACTTCCCCTCTTCTATAATAATAAGAAGAAGAATCCTTGCATTTGATATAGCGCCTTATCACGTCTTTGAGACGTCTCAAAGCGCTTCACAGAATCTACTGCAAAGTGAATTGACTATATATTTTGTTGGGTGAAATGCGACAGCCAATTGAGCACAGCAGGGTCCCACAATCATGGGTTGAAGTGGCAAATTTTGAAAAAATATTATTACCATTCACACATCCTCTGAGTCTCAAAGCCACATATTTTCTCTGTAACCTCCCACTCTTGCCTTCTTTTGTTTGCACCAACAACACCTCTGATCTCATCATCTCCTGTCCCCCACCTAAATTTTTCCTTTTTCTTTCCCCACCCCCTTCTCCGTCCTTATAAATTGGTCCCTTCCAACGTCGCCTAGTTCTCGCGAAAGATCGTTAGCCTAAAAACGTTAACTCACTTTCCTCTCTCCATCGATGCTGCTGGCCTGCTAGAGTCTTCTCAGCGACTTCTGTTTTTATTTCAGATTTCCAGTATCTACAGTATTTTGCCGTGTGTGTGTGTGTGCATGCGCAAGTTAAGATGGGACAGTGCCCACCCATTTGAGAGTTTATGAGCACAGCATCCGTCCACCAGATTGTTATCTGCTTTATCAGCTGATTTGAATAAGACAAGACATTTATTTTAGAAGTAACTATTATAATTAAAATAGAATAAAATGCCATGCTATTTCCCTTGTGTTTGTTTTATTAGCTATACATTCTGTTTGACGTTTCCTCTTCCCCCCCACTGCATACTAGAAGAGCCTACCACTCTTTTCCTTGCTCAGCCGGGTGTCTTTCGGTAACCCATCACCGTGCTTACGAGTATCCAAACCAAACTGAGAAATCCATGCATCCCACCTACACATGGAAATTCCGGAGATAAATTGTTGGAGTGGAATGCGCGCTCTCTCCCTGGAGGGAAACATCCTGCTTACCTAATTCTGGAAAGTATTAGGCGCAGGTTGGTAAGAGCCAAGGCTTGGGGGACCCCAGAGTGTGCGTTGGGGTAACTGCTGGAATCTAACCAGCTAAAACTGCAGAGCTTGCCACGGTGACTACTGTCTGGCAAGTTTTCCCGCTGCTTGTCCAGCTAGGACCACCCTACCTGTTAGGGCTTTGGCTTGCAGGGTTAACAGGAGCTGAGTGGGAGGATTCCCAGTCCCCCAGTGACTGATCTGCCCCTCCAGGTCCTGTTGATGAGCCAGGGCTACATCCTCCATGAGGTCCTCTCTGAGTTGACTGTAATGTCATCAACCAGTCCCTCACCAAATGCCGTTGCTTATATTGTTCACAGTTTGACTATCCTTTTAGCCCAGCGTTGCACTAACATTCACAAGTAGCAACTTCCAAATTAAAACTCAACAAGTCTGCATCATTGTAAGATTTAAAGCAAAAGAATTTCAGGAAAGTAGAAACCTGGGTGTCAGGTGATTGGCAGATGGCTTTCCAGGAGTAATAATCACTTGAAAAACGAGTTACTCAGTCAGGTTGGCAAGAGGCAAGGCTTGGGGACCGCAGCCTGAGTGTGATGTCTGGGGATCTAAACTCGACTGATGTAGCAATCTAACCCTGCATCCTACTTGCCTTGTTTATTGCTTCACACTGGTTTGACATAGTGAACAACTGAGTCAACTAACTCCCCGAGATCTCTCTTGTCTGCCCGTTCAGGTGGATGTTAAAGATCTCATGGCACTATTCCAACAGAGAAGGGAATTTCTCTCCCAGTGTCCTGGTTAACAATCCCCCAAATAAATTGGTTCCTCACTCCATGGCTGCTTGAGATTTGGGCGCTTTGAGATGTGTTAAAGGTGAGATAAGACATTATAATAATAATAATAATAATCCTTGCATTTGATATAGCGCTTTTCACGTCGGGAGGACGTCCCAAAGCGCTTCACAGAACACACTGTAAAGTGAATTGACTGTATACTTGTGGGCGAACGCGGCAGCCAATCGCGCACAGCAATGTCCCACAAACAATCGTAGATTGAAAATGACCAATTTATTATTTTTTTTTGGTTTTTGGAGGGATTATGATTAGGCTCTGTGTGGAGTAAGGAAACTTGCCCAAGGTTTCGCCCTCTGCCTGGAATTGAACTCAGGTCTCTCACTCACTCACTCTCACTTATTTCAGCTTCCTCCTTGGCACGTTCTATCTCATGGAGAGCTTGTCTTGCAGCGTACATAATAATGTAATACTTGACTACCACAGGATGGCAGCAGTGTTCCAGGGATGGGGAAACCTCTGCTAAGCGGGAATTCCGCACGGCTGCGCCTTCCGGGACTCGGGATCCAAGCTGTCCGCGGCGAGTCAGGGCAGGGAATCAGGAGACCGCATTGCTGTGAGATGTTTGGGTGGACAGCCGAGATCGCCCTGAACTGTAACCTTCTGACCCGGAGACGAGAATGTGACTGACAGTCAAACCTGGGGGGTGAGGGGCTTGATCGTCTTGGAGGAATCACTCACTCGTTCTCTCATTCTCATTATTGTGTGGCCAGATATTGTGAGGGTGTCAGGGATTTCTCACAGAAACTATGGGGAGTGTGTGTCAGCCCGGCTCTGTGTGATAGCTTGGCTCAGTGTGCGTCAGCCTGACTCGTGGGTAAGTGCTCTTGCTTCTGAGTCAGAAGGGTGTGGGTTAAAGCCCCACATTGGGACTTGGAATCACATCGTCTAAGCTGACAGTCCAATGCAGTGCTGGGGCTGTTACATTGTCGGAGGCACCAACCTTCGATGAGATGTTAAACCTGTTCGAGTGGATGTTAAACGATCCCATGGCACTATTCGAAAAGAGAAGGGAGTTTCTCTCCCGGTGTCCTGGCCGACATTCCCCCAAATAAAATTGGTCACTCGCTCCATGGCTGTTTGTAGGACACTGCTGTGCGCAACCTGACTGCCGCGTTTCGCCCACAATACCGTATACACGTTAACTTATAGTATATTCTGTGAAGTGCTTTGAAACATCTCAATGATGTGACGAGTCGCTATGTCAAAAGCAAAAATTATTATTATTCTCTGCTTCCTATTCAACCGTGCCTATAGTCACCTACCCCTTCCCCCGCCCCCCCCACACCACCGGCTCGGAGTCGTGCTCCACCTCTATCAAGGGCTCTGGGACGCTGCCCTGCGTGAGGGGCGGTATATAAATACAAGTTGTTGACTGTGTTTCTCACTGAGTAGATTGTGTGGGAGGTGTCAGTGTGCATTGTTGCCTTCTCACCTTATATATTCTCATGTACAGCACAAACCTGAAAGCCGCTGAGAGTGATGAGGCTACTTTTAATCCAATGATTGATGAACTATTGAGCAACAATCAATTATCTCATGATTAATTCGCGTATAATGTATAATCCGCACATGTAAACCCAGCTATTAGTCACCCAGGAAACCATTAGCTCCTGTTACTGGGGAACATTACACAGACACAAGCACAGGCAATCTCACTGCCACCGGCACATTGATTGGTTGCTTTAAGGGCTCTGAGCTACATGTAATATCTTATAATTTGTATTGATTGAAATCTGGAAACAAAACGGTTTGAATTCAGAGCAGGGCTGCCTCCGCGCAACTCAAACCTCTCAATATCACAGTCCAGGGAGGCCGTGTGTATGTCAGTGACACTGTCAGAGAGACCGTGTGTGTCAGTGTAACTGAGTATCAGTGAGACTTTGTGTCAGTCAGACTGTGTGTCAGTCAAACTATTCGAATTCTACCTCTCCCACCTTTTCCACTTTAATTAATCCTTGCATTTGATCTATCCTTGCATCTGGAAGATGTGAAAAGCGCTTCACAGTATGTACTGTAAAGTGAATTGACTGTATATTTGTGGGCGAAATGCGGCAGCCAATTGTGCACAGCAGCGTCCCACAAACAGTCGTGGATTGAAGTGACCAAATTGTTATTGCTTTTTTTTCGTGAGGGATTATTATCAGAGTGGGGAGCAAGGAAACTTGCGCAAGGTTTCACGCTGCCGGGAATCGAACCCGGGTCTCTTGCTTGCTGCAGCTCTAACCACTGAGCTACAGGACTTTGTTGTCACTAACGGCTTTTCCTCCAGCCCCCACACCAGTCTCGTGTGGCGTCCCTCAGGGCTCTGTCCTTGGCCCTCTCCTTTTCAATATCTATAATTTCCAGATGTATGTGGATGACACCCAACTCTACTTCTCTGCCTCCACCCTTGACTCCAGGACCACCGCTGGAGCCTCACAGACTGCCTGTTGGACATCAAGTCCGAGCTAATTTCCTGCAGTTGAATGTCATCTAGACCGAGGCCCTCCTGCTTGGCTCCCGTCAGCGCCTCTATACCTTGGGCGCAGATAGCATCTCTCTCCATGGATGCACTTTACATCTCATGGAACC